CTGAAAAATGTTGGGTTTCTACTTTTTTTTTTTGTTTGTTTGTTTTGTTTTTTGAATGTCCAGAGGAGCAGACTTAACTTTTTTAGATTTTTCTACCTGGTTCATTGAGCATGCATCAGGATAATTCCAAACAAGGCTTGCCACTTATATGGTCCTGCTATGAACTCAAACTGTAACAGAAATATCTTCAGCTGATATAAAAATTTTACAAAAGCCTGAATTTAGAGAAAACATTATATATAAAAAAAAACAACAACAAAAAAACAAAAACAAGATGTTGTGAAAACCATCTGATATTGAAATTCACTGTGTCGTTCTGAAGATAGAGCGCATGTGAGCAAAGCAGTTCGACGTTTTTTTACAGCGGCTGTATGAAAATATGGACGAATTATCGTATTTTCAACACCATCAACAAGAAGAAGAATGTGAGGCCGCAAAGTTACATCTTCATAAAACTGCTTTTAAAACTATACAACGCAAAACATTTCAGGAAATTCCAATGTTTTAGATAATTTTAAACCAGAGGATAACTCGACATTAGGGCTGAATGATTTAGGAAAATATTCTAATTGCAAATTTTTTTAACCTCAGTATTGCGATTTAATGCGATTATTTTTCAACGTCTTCTTCTCATGTATTTTTCAACGAACACATGCAATAAATCAATTTGTTTCAGTTGTTTTCAGCTCTTCTGCAACTATGTTTCTCCATTTTTTGTGTAGCTTCTGGATAGCAATTTGGCTAAAATGTGTGCGCGTGGGCATTCTGTACCGTTTATCCATTTTGTTAACAAAGCTGTAAACTCAGGCTTAATCACTATATTAATGGGCATCATGTCTTTTGCTATGAACTCCGTTACTGCTCGAGTTATTTCCACGTGCAGTTTCGAATTATGTTCATACAGAGTAATTCCTTTGAACAGTTCGGTCAGTGATCCCTGTCGGCTGGTTCTTTACTTTAAGTTGAAGCACTGCTCGTTGGCATTCTAGCCATGCAACTATCGCATTTGTCTTCTGTCGTGAACCACCTACAGTCTTCACCATGAATGCTTTTCTTTGCTCGTCGACATCCTCTGCATGAAAAGTGAAGTATTTTTAGGTTCTGTCAATTGAATCTCCTCTCTTCAGCGGGGGTGGGAACTGGCAGAGAGCATGAAATCAATGCAGACAGCATCGACGTGGACGTCGGGCCTTTTTGTTGAGAATACTATAATTTACTTTGTGCAAGGTGGACTGATAAGTGACTCCATGCTGCAGTATTGATTTAAGCTGTTAAATCCACTTCAATCTGGCGTTTATCGAAGATGGGATGGAGGAGAAATGGAGTGTTAAAGGAGGAATTTAACTTTTTTATGAGACGTCTTCTAAAGATGGGAGTGTAAAGCTCAGCGTAACTCCAACTTGAAACCGTCTCATATCAAACAGCTCGAACAATTTTCTGCTTAAGCACTCCCATCTCGACTTTGCTGATGTGCAGCAGATGTTGGATTAATTTTAAAGCACTAGAATTTTTTTGGCCCGCCTGCAGTGATTAAGATCCAACCAAAGCAGTTAGGAGGCAGCAGTTCCTACTTGTAGATATTATAGATGTAGGTTATAATTTGCGTTAACAAAGGGGAAGCCTCTCTTTTCACCGGCACTCAAATCTAATAGCCTCCAACATTACTGGCATCTCTGACTCATGCAGGTTGGGACCCCTGTGCCAAGGCACGGCACGGATAATTAATCTAATTTTAGTGCCGCCTCTAAGTGTTGTGCTGGACAGAGATTTCATTTCCACTCACTCTGATGCTGAAATAAAATATGGTGCTTCCAAGGGGAAACAAAAAGAAACATCTGATTTATTAAGAACCACTTGAGACTATTGAGTACATTTAAATGTACTTCAGCCTCCCGTCCATGAGTCACATCCTGCTTTTGTTTGATGCTTCCAGGAAGAACTGTGGAAAACTGAGTCACACTGCGGCAATGACGCCACACAACAAGTGCAATATACGAAGGCAAAACTTTTTGAAAAAGCTCAATTGTTGTTTTATTTTTTTGCTGAAAGTTGTACATCTTGCTCTTCTGCTCAGAGTTAGCATAAACTCTGCAGTCAGTAACACCCAGGCAGGTTAAACCTTTGCAAGCCTGGACGTTTCTGTTGAAATTGGGAAAATTCCTTGGAAGATGGGCGAAACATCTTCAATCAGTCAAGAAAGAAGTCCAGCTGTCTTTTCTTTATACTTTATTTTGCAGACACTAGGGTTATGAACTGACAGTTATAACATGCATGTGATGCTGAAGAGCTAAGTGTCACAAAATCCTCAGTTGTTCATAATAAGTTTCGTAACAACCTGGCATACCATGTTGACATTCATTCATTCAACCTTTATTTAAACAGATAAGTCACATTAAGCCTAAAAGACTCATTTACAAGTGAGAACTGTTTGGATAGACAATAAAAAGTGGCGAAAAAACAAACACATAGGGTTTGGAGACAAAAAAAAAATTCTTAACACACTTTTAACATCTGGTTCAAGGTCAACAGTGTGATAATGAAAAAAAAAATCTCGAACACTAGCACATAATGACGCTGACATTACGCCGGGGATGCAAGGGTGGTGAGCAGTCAGAGACGACACACAGAGGCACTGCAGAGTTCAGATGAAAATCACTCAGTTCAAATAGTTCCCTCTGGAGAGATCCGTACACACTCGGGGGATGTGCCTAGGATGGCCAAGGACGACTCCAAAGAGTCTGAAATGATGACAGAATGTTTATTCAGCTAGGCCCCTTTGAAAAGTCCATGGAAATTCCTCGGTAGGAGTGGAGGGAGGGGGCAGAGCTTCAGGTTTACAAAACTTCCAGGTGGGTTGAGATAAGATGGCCTGTCAAGGCCAGTCAGGGAGCCGAATTCAGAAAAACATGATTGTTTTGGGTACAGGCAGAATTTAATGACAAATACCTTGAGTCTGTGTCGGTCCACTCGGTTCAGAAATGTCCAAATTACATGGCCACACCAATGGACCGTGCCTGAGAATAATCCCCGAGATCTGATCCATCCTGCCAAAAGCATTTGAGTCTGGGTGCTCGAGGCACGAACCAAGCCATCATAAGGCAAGCAGCATGACCGGGTCCAAATTTGCTGCCGACAACTTCCTTGATTGTAGATAAACCAGGAACCAGATGAATCCAAAAAGCAGGAACCAGAGATCATAAATCTAATTTTATATGCGTCCTTAAAATCCACAAATGGCAGCAGAGATAGACACGTCATCAAGTCTTCCAAGTCGATGTGATATCCAGCTGCGTGCGTGCCAACAGGGCAAACCGGCTCACCTAAAGCCCGTCTTCTCTTCGAAGAAATGATATCAATTGTGTTGAGGGACCAACTGAGCAAATCCAAATCCATAGTTATGATTTGGAAGATTTGTAGAAGAGAGGCTCTAAGCAGCTTCACAGACAGGACAGAGCAAAGCAGCGCGGAGAGGGAGAGGAGAATACGTCCGAACTTGGCAAGAGCAAGTGTTGACAGTTATTATAAACAAAATGCTATATTTTTTGGACAATAAGGCACATTAAGAAAAACAAAACAATTGATAAGTCAAACTTTATTCAACTCATTCACAATAACCACATAGCCACATACCTGATTATAAGGCTCACTGTCGATTTTTGAGAAAATTAAAAGGATTTAAAGTTCGCCTTATAGTCCAAAAAAAAATATGGTCTTGAATTTTATAGAAAAGTTGAACAGATAGATCATAGGTTGGATCCAAAGGAGAGCCTGGCCACCCTTTCAGTCACCTCCCACATCTCTCATCCACAGGACGTCACCGACCAGTAAATTAAAAACTCAGTTGTCTCTTTATTATAACAGACCAGGATGACATTTGCATCCCTGCAGACACAGACCTTACCCACGATCAATCTCCTCCATCATTCTACCCTCACTTGTCATCGAGGCCCTGAGATATGTGAAGTCCTCCACTTGAGAAGGCAGCTCACTCCCAACTCAGACTGGTAATACACACTTCCAGCAGCAGACTGTGGCCTCAGACTGAACTTAACAGGAAAACAATATCTGCCAAAAAGCAACGATGGAATCTGAAGCTGAGGAAACTGGAAACCATTTACCAACTGGCCCATAGGTGGGACAGTCCTGGTATTTTCCAACATGTACCAGGAATTAGTCTGAACCAAAATCTCACTCCAGGTTTGTTTTATATAATTTAACAATTCATTCTAATAAATATATGCTTTACCTAATATTTCAATGTGAGAGATTATCTATAGCAAAAGAAGAACTATAAATCTTTTTTATAGTGGTTGCAAAGTAAATGTTAGTTTTGATACGAATAATGTCACCTGCTTGAATAATAAAAAAATAATAATAATTATATATATATATATATATATATATATATATTACAAATGAATAAAAAAGTCCAGGAATAAAGTAATAATTTTATTTTTTAGGCTTTCACAGTGTTACCATAAACTCTGCAGCTGGTGATTTCCAGACATGGATATTTTTTATTTAGTGTTTTCGTTGGACAACACACTCAGGCTCGAGGACATTCTGGAAGAAAAATGAATGTTATCAAATTCTCATTCATGCAACATTTATTTATCCAGGTTAGTCTCATTGAGCCTCGAGGATCATTTCGGTCTTTTCTGCTCCACCTGAACAAACGACTTGTTTTACCTTTGATCACCCTCTGTGCCTTCTGTTTGCTGCAGCTTGGCATTGTTAATTTGTCTACATTTACCTCGCTGCGCGTGCGCACGTGCGTGCACGTGCTCAGTTGTTATTTTCTCTCAGTCAGGATGCATCAGTTCGACACAGTGTTATCGTCCTCCCGTCAGTGTTTCTGCCTCCCCTCCCTCACCCTTTACTCTCGTCTCCTTGCGTCCATGTCCTCTGCTCATAGACCTGTTGCAACAAATGGACATGATAATGAGATTTTCTCATGTTAAATATATTTCTCCCTTTTCTTTGTCTTTCTGTCTATCCAGCAGCCGATGCAGTGCCGGTACGGAAAGATGGGGATCAGGTAAAACGTTTCAGATTTTTCTTTTACATTTTATTTATTTTTCCCTGATCCTGCACCAAACTTTTCATTTCACTGAAAGTTGTTTTGGGAAAAACACAGAAGAAGCAGTTTGCGGTGATACTATCTGAACGGTTCAGAAAGAAGTGTCACCTTGCAGAACTGGATCCTTCTCTTTGTGGCGAGAAACGAGCTTTGTTTTTCCAACTTCCTCATGATGCGAGAGGCGAGCTCTCAACTTTGGAAAACTTTCCCAGATCTTGAGCTTTGAAAACAACAAAAAAGCAAAAACGGAGCTCTACAATGCGAGGAACATACTTTTGTTCATGAATGTTTTCTTCTGAACTTTTCATGCATCTGAGCCTTTAAGAGCTCGCTAACATCAAAGTGCATGTGATGAAGCGCTACACTTGAAATGTTCAGCATTAAAATATTTAACTGAAGTGGTGACAAAAAAATACAAAAGCTGGTTTTAAAATGAGAAAACAAGGAGGAAAGTAAGCAGCAGCAGAGCTTTGCAGAATTTATTTCTCCACCTAAGGTTAGAATTTATCATCTGCCGATTGTTTTAGAATCAAAAGTCACGTAGTCTGGTCAATGCACTGTGTGCTGCAAAGAAGCCTTCACAAACCGGCTTCAAAATCTGAATATAACAGTTTGAGGCAGTGCGCTGTTCACGCTTAAAATGATCAGCATTAAAATATTTGTTCATAAATAAGTAGAAAATTCAAGTATTAGGGTCCACATATAGGAGGAGATATTTATATTTTCCCGTCTCTTCTGAAAACCGTGAGCCACAGAGCTTCTTCGTTGCTCATTTATCACAGCTTCTGCAGCAAAAAGTTCTTGATGACTGAAAAAAAAATCAACACGTTACAAGAGATTGGTAAAAAATAATTTCAAACTATTTACTAAACCTCAAAATCTGCAGTTCTGGGCCCGTAAAAGAAGTCGACAGAACAAAATTTAACTAATACCAACACAAGAACCTAAAGCACTAACTGGCCCGCTAATTCTTCTTCGTCGTCTTCTTCTTTGATTTTCTTGGCGGTTGGCAAACAGCTTGTTGGTGCATTACCGTCACCTTCTGGATTGGAGTGTGAACCAGAATTAAACCCTAACCTATATTCTCCTGAAAAGTTCTGATTTTACAAGAAAATGAAAAAAGGCCCTATTTAAAATGTGATTTGAATTTAAGCGAAGCAACTCAACTAAATTAAATTGGACTTTTTGCTCATGAAATCGATTTTGAAGAATAACTATGACATTTTATACAATCTATAAGTACATGTTCTACTGCCTCTTGTGATCGGCCACATTCACAAACTCCTGTAGGAGGTTTTCCTATTGTTTTTAGATTCTAATTTAAATATGTAAGGCCAAATCTAAGTCTTGATAAAATATCTTCTTCCCTCCTCCTCCTCCTTGATGTTTCCCTCATCCTACCCACACTTTTTTCAATAGAATAAAAACGTCTCCTTTCTGCTCCTTGTTCCATTCCTCCTGCCATTTCTTATTCATTTCTTCCTTTACATTTTATTTCTGATTTGCTGTATGAGACTGATAAAGAAATGTCTATCTTTTTAGTGGCTTCTTTAGCAAATTTATCTGCAAGTTCATTACCTAAAACCCCTATATGAGCCGGGATCCAAATTAATCGTACAAAAACTCCTGAACCTTTAATTCTATACAGTGTTTGTAAAATTTTGCTTTATATAATTCTTCTTCTTCTTCTCGTCTTTTTATGGCGGTTGACAAACAACTTTTAGGTGCATTACCGCCACCTTCTGGATTGGAGTATGGACCAGATGTTATACCACTCTATACTATTTTACACGTTATATCATTTGTAAATTACTTATTCTTCTCAAATATCTAAATATGCCGGTAAAAATTATATTCCCTGATGATCTTTGCAGCAATTCCTTTATCTCTAACTTACTGTTATTTTTATTTAAATCACTAATGGTCTGTTAATTGAAACACGGGAGACTTTATAAAGTGGCTGATTAGACCATTCTGACACACTAGAGGAGGGGGGTGGGGACACATTAAATAGACTAAATTACAAGTAACATTAGCAAAAAACAAACAAACATCACTGATCAAAGTAGTGCTAAATTGTAATTAATCCATTTACAACAATGAATTTAATCTCGACAAAGATGTAAAAATTAAATTATAATATTTAACGTCTCCCTCTGCTGACATACAACGTGGTACAGTCCATTTAGACTGATGAGTAGATGTGATGCAGCTGGGGCTGTTTTCAGGGAGGGGCAGGACAACTTCAGCAGCGTCTCCACAGGAACTGACAACTCAGAGAAACAAAAGTTAAATCACTGCAAAGGACAACTAAACTGCAACAAGACTTGAAACTACATAAATATATAAATTATCAGTTATTGAACTTAAGTTATTTAAACTTGTGCATATTTACAATCAGCAAAAAACACAATACCAAATTTATTACCTCAACCTTTGTTTACTGTGTGGCTGCAGGTACTGTCGTCACTAAAATATTGCTCTAAAATAAATGGAAATTAAGTTCTCGCATTAATGATCAATTTATTGGATTTGGTCTCTAAATCGAGGACGAGGAAAAGGAGACAGCTGTAGCTGCACTCATAGCTGGGATAATGGCAGAGGCCCCAGCAGCAGCCGAAACACACAATTTTTCCAGGATTTACCAAAGATTTTGTGACAGGCAGAATATACAAGTTTTTTTTAAATATTACTAATAAATTTAGGATACTGGTTTATAATGTGACACAAACACAGTTTTCTGTGTAGATAAACTTTCTTCCTGCATCTGCGGCCTCCTGGATCATTTTGAACCAAGGGCAGCAGCAGGGTCGACAGAAATTCAGAATACAACCATGTGGGGTACAGACACCATAATGGAGGTCTTTTACTGACTGAATGACTTTGTTCAGTCATGACTCTCTGTCTGTGGAGGAGCAAACTGGTTTCTGATTGGAAATAAAAGACCCAATTCAACACTGGCCCTGAACTGACCCTGGAATCAGTTTGGTCAAACAACTGGGCATTTAATTCTTTATCAGAATGAAAATAACTCAAGCAAAAAAAATCATGTTTTTACTTATTTATCTGACTTTTTAAAATGAGCCAGTGTTGCTTAGTTTATCAGATTAGGTCTAAAAGGTTAAAGCATTTTATTTACTCTAGAACTCACTATTTAATTTAATAGCAGGAACCGCTTGGCTTGGGTACACGGACTGAACTCAGTTCTGACCTATTAACCCTGCCCATTCCCCCAGAATGGACAAATCTGAAGAAATGATGTTTCCACCCCAGATAAAACCACCTATTAAACTTTTCCCTGTGGAGGAATGGACAGGGTTAATAGGTCAGATGTTACCGGTACTTCCTTTCCACATCATAGAAGACATAGCCTTTCAGTTTTGGATCAGTGCACCTGAACTCTTACCAACTTACAGATGAGACAGCTAACATTTCCTTTCCCCCTTGCAGTAGAATATGTTCAACATTACCTGACCTCAATTCAAAGAATTATTCGTATTACTGCTGATCAATGAGCTGAAGGCAAAACGCCCTGGAAGTCAGGGATGTCTGTGAAGCTCAGCAAACTTCAGAAAGTCACTCAAATATTTACCATGGTGGAGTCCTGGTGACCAAGCACGTGCAATAAAACCAAAATGTCTCCATTTCAGCTGTTATTTGTTTTATTTATGTATCTTTTTTTATTATCTGTCCAGAAAATGCAACATCAGATCATAATAAAATAATAAAATAAAGTTTAAATTCAACTTTGCCCAGAAACTTTTATTAGTTCAACGCTTGCTGCCACTCAGAACCTTTCTGGCCACATTTGGAAGGCGATGCACATTTTCTCATAAAATACATAATCATATTAATCCCTTTTAATTAGTGGAGGTGTTAATGGTAATCTGTCTGCATGTGTGAGCTGTGTGAGAGGCAGCTTGTCCTGCATGTCCCAATAGATGTGAGCAGGATAACCATGTCCACATAGATAATGGACGTTTGATAGAATTGTAACATTAAGCTGGTAGATTCCACCTCACTCACATAGTCAATAATTTGTATGAAACACATTGTTCTGCAGTACAGAAACAATAATCATCAGCATCTGTGAGGGATTGTTTGGTGAATGTAGTGAAAAGTGCATAATGGAACAGAAGGTACATTTGGTCTGTCGGTTGTTTTCTTTCACAATACACATCATCAGATCCTGTGAAAGACTTTTACCAAGAGTTATATTTTTCAATTTGGCTCAGAAGACAGTTGAAGGTTTATTGTGCATACATTTTATGAGTTTCATAAAGCTGGAGCACTAATGAAGACGGTTTAGTTTTCCTGTGTGACTAATTATGACCTAGGAACAGCTGGGCACTATATGGGTTCTTGCAGTTGGAAGGGTACATGTCAATAACTGAGTGATGCATTTAGAGGCTAGAGCATTTAAGGTTTTGAAAGTGTGGTGTATTATTTTTAAATCAATACATCAGTATTGATACTAGGAGCAAATTTATGGACACAACATGAGGCTTTTAGTCACACTAATGAGACTATCTGCAGCATTTTGAACCAAGAAGAGATCACAAATGGAGCCCTGATTGATACCTACATGAAATCCATTACAGTTTTCAAACTGAGAAAAAAAAAAGTGTTTCAGGCTGAGAAAGAAACAAGACTCAACAATGTATTTGACCAGAGCATCTAGAATGAAATGTTATTCCAGGACTTGTAGAAGCCTGTGGCGATGTTTGATAAACTGTCAAGTCTGGGACCTTGATGACTAAAATAATTCTAGGGAATTCTAGGAAACTAGGTTCTAGGGACCCCACCCAAATAAATAAATGCATTTGATTTAAAACTGAAAAATCCAGGGTGATCCAGTTATTAATGTCAGAAAGCTGTAACAATAGCAAGCTCGTTGGAACCTGATGTTTTTATTTATTTGAACAAATAAAGATTGAATAAAAAATAATTATTTAATT